GACTCTGAACAAGGTGGGGGACACAAAATATTTTTCGATCAACTCAGCTAGAAACATTCCTGTTAAAAAATAAATTAAGTTAGTCAAATAGGCCATTAATTTAAAAACAGCTACTGGATATTTATACTAGCATATTCAGGCTGACCATAGAGGAATATAGCAAACTTGTAGTATACTATAGCAAATAACAAAATTGCAGTAGTTTGTATTGTCACCATTCAGTTAATTGAACAAAACATTCACAGTATGAAAATCCGCAAAAAAACAAACCAACCCAAAAGTTTTACAGTACTATGCAAGACCATGCAAACTGAGCCAAAGAAATGCATATATTTTAGCTGGCAAGGTTCTTTGAATAGATGTGATAACTTTTATTAGATCAACTGAGTAGTTGGAAAAAAGCTCTTAGCAAGTTTTTGGGTGCAATCACCCGATATTTTAGCTGCTATCATTATACATATGTGTGTGTGTATGTGTGTGTGTTTTCTAGGACAGAACACTCCTGAACAGGAGTATTATAAAATGCTCTTGGCCAGAATATTTGTATTATCTCAATATCATAGATATTGAGGTCTGAGGAATACTGTTCTGTTTTAGTTATAATAAAAGGAATATAGATTAACTGGAAGGAAGAGCTCTGTTTATAGTTGTTGGCAATAAATTACAATGTAAGCAAATCAAACTACTTTATATATACATTTATACAGAAAATTAGCTTTTTAGTCATATCTGGAATAATGTGACCACAAATTCAATGGTAATCCCACAGCAACCAGAAATACCATATTTACTTGAATATAAAATGACCCCCCAATAATTAGATTCTATATATGGAAAATTTATAAATTTGTTATAATTTTCCAGGTATAGAAACTAATTATTGGAGGTTTGCCTTGAGTTTGTCCTTCTCCCACTGCTAGAGGATGAAAAATATATCTGCAGGGGTTAGGTTGCCATGTTGCCCTCTGCCCCCCTACCTCCAATATCTTCCCCCTGCATCTCCTTCTCAACCCTTTTACTGTCAGACCCTGCTCTCTCTGAGCACATGGAAATACAGAGAAAACTTGAAAAAACTGACCTTGAAATAAAGACAAATTACTATGAGGACCCACAAACTTACTATGGGTACCCATAAACCCAAAACAATGGGGTGAAGTCTCCCCCCCTCAGGAAAAACAAACTCCATTGCCACTAGGGGGTGTTGGTTATAGTCACCTCACAAATCTCAAAAGGGCTTTCACTCAACAAGGACATTCCTTCAGACATAGATCACACTTCTGAAAGCCACCTGGATACCATGTGAAGAATTGCTGCAGTACAAAAAGAAAATCCTCAGAAATTGCAAACCATTAGTTATGACATATCATTCTTCCCTGGAGCCTAAACAGAAAATATTCAAACAATTGCAACCCATTCTAGAAGGAGACCCAATTCTTAAAGAGACCTTCCCAGACCCACCCATCCTAGCACCAAACCTCATCAATCTCATTATCAGAAGCAAACTTCCTATGGCCCAAAGCACATAGAATGGATCCAGACCATGCTGGGACAAGAAATGGAAAACCTGCCAACACATCTCTACCATACCCATAGTAACTACACCCCACAACAGAACCATCCCCATTCCTGGATCTTACACCTACACCTCCAAAAATGTAATATAATCTCATGCAGTGCACTAAGTACCCTGATGGAAAATACATATGAGAAACCAAAAAAACCTGTGTACCGGAATGAACGCACATTAAAAATCTATTGAAGACAAAAATACTCAATTACCTGTGGGTGCACACTTCTCACAAAACAGCCACTCTCTCCTCCAGTCTCTCAGTTCTAATCCTCAAAGTGTGCATCTACACGAGATGCTATGTCACCATAGTGATGAGATACGGTGATGTAGCTGTCGCTACAGTGATGTAGCATCAGCGGGCACTAACTGTGATGCCATTACCACTGTGTAGTAGCAATATGCTACTGTACAGTAGCTCATTGTTACTGAGCAGTAGGGTTGGAAACGACCCGTGTGCTGCTGGGACTCCAATACTGGTGGGTGCTGCACAGTCATTTAGTACTTGCTTTAGCAAACTGCGCAGTGGGGTGCATGTGTAGATGTGCCCAGTGGGAATTTACAAAACATCTTTCGTAGACAAGCCTATGAACTTCACTTCATAAATCTACTGGATATAAAAAATCATGGACTAAATACAGACATTGAATTTATGGCACATTATAATCTGCTTGCCACCCAATAACCCAAGGTAGCGTCTACATTTCACCAACTACATTCTGTCACCAGGTCAAAATTCCCCTCTTTTCCCACCACCTATTTGTCTCACAACTACTGTCTCCCATGGCCTCTGATCCTCACTGCCATGCATTTGCTTTTTCACAGACCTGCATTTTGTACATTGACTTCTATTCCACCCAGGAGCACAGAAAACATCAGCAGACTCTCCTTATGCCTGAAGAAGGGTGTTTGTGCCTGAAAGTTTGCAAAGAACAATTTTTCCAACTTTTTAGTTGGTCTAATCAAAGCTATCACATTTACCCAAAGAACTTTGTCTTCCTATTGTCACTCTAGAGCACTCCAGTTCCCAGAATGCCTTGAGTTCTGTGACATGTACTGCCAATACCTGCTGCTTGATGCTGCTCTGTGTGCTGCCTTGTGGGGAAGGGTGATAGAGGTTTGCTCTGCACATGTTATTCACATTGTACGCCTCTGACCCAAGAACCCGAGAATCACCACTTTGGAACTTCACACAAAAATATAAGACACAGGACCCAAAACACCAACACTCTATAACATGTCATAAGTAAACACCAATGGCCTGCCAATGCAGTAGCAGGGAAGGAATTGGTTAATATATGCTCAGAAGAGTCTAAGAAAGTGCTATACCCCTAGCTACGCAGGAATACAAAATCTGCTAGATTCTACCCCAATCTGACCTAGGGCAAAAAAATCCTTCCTATTCCCAGATTTGGCAATCAATATGACCCTGACTGGATGTGCTGGCCAGTAACCTCTGGGCTTTCCAAGTACCAGCTGGATCATCATAGCATGAAAGAATGCCTGTCAATTTGTGTCAATTTTGCTTCAAAGCAACACTTTCATGTATTGGTTTGTATTTATACTGGAGTGCAATATCTGTGCAGTATCTAATTTCTGAAAATGTATCACACCTGATGGGTTTAATAGATAAGATAAATGTATAATACTGCTCATTTATTTCATGAACAGTATAAAATTAGAAAAATAGCACATGAAAAATCAAGCTGTATGGTGATAGTACTGAAGTGAAATGTTAATGGCCCCAAGATTCCAATGGTCCCTTCTTTAAAGTGAAATGTTCTTACCTACTATAGAGAGAATAACAACCACAAAATCAAAAATGTTCCAGCCTATGGTGAAGTAGTAATGGCGGAGTGAGATCAGTTTCAGGACACATTCTCCAGTGAAAAGGACAATAAACACTAGGTTAATCCGAGATAAAATAGTTTCCATTTCTTTACTCTGATCATCTGTTTCTACCATCATGGTGACCATGTTAAGACAGATAAGAATCATAATACTGATATCAAATGCTTGTTTCGTAACAAAGTCGAAGACCATGCCTTGAAACTTGTTCTATGGGTAAAAAAGAGAGACAGAGAGAGAGAAACAATACATTATGCACACACCTTGGGCCAGATTCTCTTCCATTAGGCACATAAATGGACTTAGGAGCCTAAGTGCAACTCTGCTTCATCTTGCTTGAGTCTCAGATAAACAGTTAATGCGAAATGTGAGTGAGTCCCCCTCCTCTCCCTCTTCCACCTCACTGTTTTTTGTGACTCAGTCTTAAGAGTAAGACAATAGTGTGCTACCAGTGTAATGCATTCATGGATTTTCAGGAGTTGAACAGAATGGAACAGACCACTTAGGTGGACAAGAAACTGGTATTTTTTTTATAATTCCCCTTTCCAAGTTACTAGAAATTAACTGAATTGATTACACATTATAATCATATTTTGTTTAAAACTATTTTTACATATTCACTTATTTGTCTGAGCAAAGACAAATGAGCATGCAAACTGAATACACAGGCATTTAATAATTGTATTTACACCTATTAAAGAATGCATTTTAAAATGCATGCCTTCTTTTTCAAAGGAGATTTGGTCATCTTATATCTTATCATATATCTTCCAAGTGGTAGTGATACAATGAACTAAAAAACCCCAGTATTCACCTTTGGAGAAGCTGACAAAAAAGTCTTAC